AGCGTCCCCTGCATTTAAATGGCAAACGAATCGGATTTCGTTTCCGGATGCACCGGCCCGGCCCGGCCCGTCTTTCGGCATCTTCTTTTCAGGGCGCGGCGTTCAGAGGCCAAACCTCGTCTTCCGGGCAAATTCCGTAGCCCGTAATGCTGGCCAGAAAGGGGGCGGGAGGTGACTTGTTTGCCCGTTTTAAACTTTCTGATCAACGAGCTAAACTTTACAGGGTAGCCGTTTTAATGTTCAGTGTCTTTGATTAGCGCCCCTCCGCCCGGGTGCTTCATCTCCAAATGCTGCAGAGCTCCTGTTGAGCTGACCTGACCTGACCTGACCTGACCTGACCTGCTTTGCCAGTCCCCAGCCTTGGCCAGGGTGGGAGTGTGCAGCAGATGCCAAAAGCCTTGCAGCCTCAGGACCGGCCGAATCAGGCGGGGCTTCTTTCCTCCCTCCTCTGCGGGCTCAGGAAAGGGGTCAGCCTTTGCCAGAGGGTCAGAGTGGACCAGTTTCTCCTTGCAGCTTCTGGTGCCCAGCAGGGCCCCAGGTCTGCTTTGCATCCAGCAACATAGCCAGCCTTTGAAACACTGTCCTACTTCTTTCTGAACAGTTATATTTTTTTAGATAAAAATACCCAGAATAGAAGTGTTGCTCTCGAAGGTGTGAATGTTCTGTAGAGCCTCACTCACAACATTTTGAGGGATGCGGCTCCCGTGTGAGCAGTAACGCTCCCTGCCCCTTTTCATCGCTTCTGCTCTTAGGAACACTTGAATTGTGAGTGCCCAGTCGGGTATTTGCATGCACCTGAATGTTGTCGGCCTGCCTATCCTTCACCTTTTGCTTTCAGAGCAGAAGGAACGTTTTCCTCTGGGTGTACAGAGGTCAACTGTTTATTTGCAGTGAGCATTCTTACACTCATCTCACACACACACACACACACACACACACACACACAGATCCCTAGCAGCAGAAGCAAAGAACGGCAGCCTTATTAACCTAGGAGATCTGGGCCTTTGCTCTCTCTGGACAATTTCTGATTGCATTCACCTGCCTTCACTGACCTCATGAAATGTGATATTAAATCCGAAGAGTAACAGGACACCAATATTATGACAGAAGGCCTCAGCCTCAGTGTATCTTTTCATTCCAATACATTAAAAAGTGTTAAAAGGGAGATGTGGATATTGGTGTGTTAAACACCCACGCACATGGTTACAATTATTATTGCGTTCAAGGGAGTAACAAGTGGAAGAGAGAGAAAACAAGCAGGGTCAAGTGAGGCAACTCTAGAAGTCAGAGAATTCCCTCCTTATGATCTGCTTCCTGGTGTAGAAGATGTAGAAGTTTTCTTTATAAAAACAGAATCCACTTCAAGAAGAAAAAAACATTGTTTTGTGTTAACTCAGTTCTCTAAGTGCTGAAATTTCAGAGGGATCCCTCTTTTGTTATTGCACAAACTTCCTTTGATTGATTTGGTATTTACTTTTACTAAGAAACATAGAGGTGGAGCAGAGCGGGGATTATTAGCACTGATAGGACTTGGAAAGACACATCTAGGGCCTAAAACTGATGTGCTTGGCCTCCTGGAGTGCAAGGAAAACCTCTCGCCTCTGGAAACTGGCAGCCACAGCTGTAAACCCTGAGGTCGGAGGCACATCTGGGGGGAACAGTCACCCACTTCCCCAGTTAAGCAGGAGGGAAGTTAGAAAGTGGACTCCTGTGGACCTGAGGGGCCCCTCCCTGGAGCAGGACCTCAAGCTTGAGGCGAGGCCGAAACGAAGCAGCTTGGCTGGGCGGGCGGAGCAGAGCAGAGCAAGCAAACAAAGCGAATCGATGTGGTTCAGCCCCAGGGAGGGGACCCTGGAGCTTGTTCCTCCAGGAAGTGCTTGCTTGCTTCAGAGCTCGCTCCCGCCTGGGGTGCAGCAGAAGAGGCCGCGCGGCTAAGCGGTCAGGGCTTCCTTGGGAATTCAGTGCCCTAAAAGTCTCGGTGGTCTGATGGGCATCGTCTTGGACCTGGGAATAGGAGGGGGGCTGTCACGCTCCCTCTCCTCCCAGCGGCCTTCAAGTGATCCTGCTGGACAAGGGGGGGGTGTATGTGTGATTCACCTGTTCCTGCAAGGTGGTGCTCATGCCCTGGGGTGCTGTAAACTGCTGGAGGAGTGAAGAAATGGGGCGCTGCTGGGGGAGCTTCCTGCTGTGTCCCTTTGCGGGTGACTGTCCATCCGGGCCCTTCTCCTGCTGATGAAGCTTGCGTGGGCTCCGCTTGATCAGGCCTCCTCCCTCAGGAGCCAGAAAGCCAAACCCACGGAACCCCTGGACTGTCACGTCTCCCCAGCCGGTCCCTTTCCAGGGCAGCCGATTGGCTCTGGGTAGGGATCTCCCTGAGCTGCCAGTCATGGAGTGCGCACTTCACGCGGGTTGTGGCCTGTTGCATTTCCCCTTCCTGTCACCATTAAGTTGCAAAATCTTCAGGGCATGAAATCACTGCTGTGAAATGAGTTTTGGAGAGCTTTGCACAGGGCAGCGCACCTGTGCTTCTGGCTGTGGCCTTTGGAAAAACGCAGGTGGCTCGGAGGCCTTGGGAATTGTCTGAAGGGCATCCTGGCCCATCGCAGAGGACGAGGATCCGGGTCTTCGGGATGGAAAAGGATGCAGTTAGAACACCCAGGTCTTGTCTCAAGCAGTTCCACCAGGGCTCACCCACCGTGGCGCGCTCCTTTCCCACAAAGTGTGGAAGTCTGGCCAGTGGCAGGGGGAGCAGCGGGGTGGGATCCAGATGACCCTTTCTAACAGTTGCAGGTACATTTTCCTTCAAAGGGCATCGAGCAGCAGGGCTGCTTTTCTCAGCCCCATGCTTTCTGGATATGTTGGCCACGGTGGCTGGGAAGGATGGGAGTTTAGTCCAGTACATCTAGCAGGGGTTCAGTTGCGGAGGGCTGCAAGTTTCACCAGTGTTGTATTTCTGCTTTGCTGTTGGCAAAGCGATTGGGAAGGTTTTGTTCTCCCTAGCTGGCATGCACATTAGGGTGCTGGTAATGTTGAGTTTTCAGCACTTCCTCCCAGATTTCTAGAAGTGAAATCTTGAAATAAGAGGCCCGCTCTGTGGCCACAGAATACGTGGAGATGTCTCCCAAGTCACCGAGAGCTGTTCGGGAGCGTGCAGCAGATACTTTTGCAAAGATAAAGAAATAAACGGGGGGCGGGGTCCATTCCTCCTAGGACGGCAGTTGCTGAGGCAACGAAGATACGCTTTCATCACACGCCTTGCACACGGTTAACCGAATCTTGGTTTACTCCACCCAATTTCCTGAGTGAGCAATATAGTGCAATACAGGGAACCACAGACTGACCGCATCCACTGGATTTGCACACGCTTGGCTAAAATGTGGTCAGCTCGTGCACCATCTCAGCCACGGTGTGGTGGGGGGAGAAGAGCTGGCCTTGTTGGGCAGGGGGCCCCGGAGGCCCTTGCAAGTCCACAGCGAGCCTCCTCGGCCCAGGGGAAGCTAAGCCTTTGTGGGCCTGGCTGCGTTGCCCCCCGTTGCCCTTACAGCTCCCTTCGCTGCTCCCTCTTTTTTCTGGATTTGACCATGGCACCGAGGCAAATGCAAACAACAGCCAGCAAGATTGTAAGGAGTGGGATGGTTTGGCTGACCCCCGCCACTGCAGCTGCAAGCATCGACGTGGCTGAAGTCAACCAT